AAACGTGTATCTCGAGATCAATGATGGAATCTGAGTTTATTGCTTTAGATAAAGCAACTGAAGAAGCTGAATGGCTTCACCAGTTTGTTGAAGATATTTCACGTTGGCCGAAACCTGTGCCAGCTATCAGTATTCATTGCGATAGCCAATCAGCGATTGGTCGGGACAGAGTAATATGTATAATGGAAAGTCTAGACATATCCGTCGTAGACATAATTCCATACGACAACTACTCTCAAATGGAGTTGTCTCTCTAGACTATGTCAAGTCTAAGGACAACATTGCGGATCCGCTAACCAAAGGGTTAACTCGAGAGTTAGTAGAAAAGTCGTCAAGATAAATGGGGTTAAGACCTTTAGTAAAGGTTACCGGAACGGAAAACCCAATCTAGTTGACTGGAGATCCCAAGATCTAGGTTCAAAGGAACAACCTAACTTCGTGTAACTGGTGAGTCACTGAAGAGGTAAATCCTCTTGCCCATTCCTTTATACAGTGATGCTCCGTGGGGGTGGAAGGTTAAGCTAATGCTTTTAATGACCTTAGTGATGTGGTATAATGAAATACCGTATCTAGGTCACCTATATGAGTGCGAAGTGGGGCTGCTTCTTTAAGAATTGCCAAGGCTGAATTCTTTAAAAACACTTACAAAACCAGGCTAGTGTTCCAGGGCCATACCGGACACACCAGTGAGAACAAGAACAATGGTTGGACTAACTCCTGTGTGAGGTCTATTGTCTCGGTTTACATAAACGGCAGAACAGTTCAAGACATCACGTTCACTGGTCAGCCAGTAAATCCGATAGGCTTTCACTACGAAAGGTTCAAGGCCAACAGCTACATTTTCTGATGCAGGGTTAGTCTATGTGTTCTCTCTCTTTCCGAGTCTTTGTTGATAAACGTTGAGCGTTTGCTGTATTCGGTCAATTTTTATTCATGTGGGGGATTGTTGGAAAAAAATTGTTGAATAAGAAATTGCCTCATAAATGTGTATATAACTCACACATTTAAGGCTCATCAGTTTTACAAAATTGATTGGGCAGTTTTGCTAGCATTAGTTGCCAGCCTTAATGGCTAGAGGCTCCTCCCCTCTCCCCCATGGTGTATAAAAGGAGGCCCTATTCCTTGAAAAGAGATATAGAATTTTTCCTTGACATCCATACACTGTCAGTCTACTTCTCCTATAATTTTCTTCCTCAGAGAGAGTGCTGCCGTTGTCCGTTCGCTAAGCTAATCAGAAGGTGCTTCTGTTATAGCTGGTAAAAACTATCGTATCCTGAGAAATAGACGCCGGCGTACCTCCAGCACCCAACGGTGAGACGGCGAATCTATTTTAAGAAGACTGTGGTATCACACAGGCTTCGGTTTGCTTCCTTTAACCATTTTATATTTTATCTGTATTTTATTCAGCATTTTATTTTTCTTAGGATTGAAGGTTTGTTTTGTTCATCTCATAATTTTGCGATATGCAATGTGAAATTATGTAATGTGAGTAATTTTGCCAATACTTACAACCTTTCATTTGCATATCACTACAAACACACTTACACCTCTCATGTATTTACATTTTTTTCCCTTAACTCCCACTTGCTTGTTGTTATCCCCTTTCATTAAAGTTCATGCTTCACCATTTTCTTTAATTCTTTCAAATATTTTTTAAGGAGAGTAATTGATTCAAAATTAACAACATTTCATTACAATGTAATTTTTTTTTTTTGAACTCTGGCATCCACTATACAATGGATCCCATATTCTAAAATATATGCAAAAAAATATATGTATTTTTAATAAAAATATTCCTTTCAGATACCAACCTTTTTTTCTTTTAAACCTCTAGATTTTATATATTTTGTTTTTTCTATCACAACAGTGGTTGGAGAGTCACCTTAATGTTCAACTACTCTCAAACGTAACGAATAAAAGGCATCATAATGCATAATCAGCAATACTACATATACTTAAATTTTTAATAACTCTACTAAAAAGGATTACAAACGAGGCGAATTGAGTCAGTTTTAGTATATTTAGATTTGTTTATTAAGATTTTAATTTAGTTCGAATACGAACTCAATAAAAATTTAATGAATCAAACTCGAGCCGAGTTAGCTTATGTTTTACTCGAGCTCAAGCCTGTTCACGAACCTTAACGAGCCAAAAAATTTATAAATTCATACCTGCATGTGAGACTAAAGTTACAATTAAAACTTTGATTATACAATTATATATATATATAAACATACTAAAAAAAAGTCCATATTTTACTAAAATAATAATATCTACTACCACTATTATATAAATATACTATCTCTGTTTAACTTTAGCTTCTATTTATATTTTTTAAATATATAAATAGCATATTTCTCTTATTTATTATACATATTTTTATATTATTTAATATATAAATAATATATTTTTTATATTTAAATAAATATTAAATGAACCCAACTAACGAATCGAGCTAACGAGTCATGTTTTAGTATGTTTGGCTTTATTTATTAAGATTTTAAACGAGTTTGAGCTCGACTTCAAACGTAATAAAAATTTAACAACCGAATTCGGATGAACCCTTATCGAGCCGAGCTCGAGTTTGTTCACAAACGATTCTATTCATTTACAGTCCTATTAAAAACATACATGTCCAAACATCAATAAATGCTCAAATATCAAAAAAAAATTTTTTTTACAATCCCATTTGACAACTTATATTTTTAAGTAAGATTATTATTATGTATAAAACTATTCATGCATGCTTGGGATCCCTTTTAATCCCAGTTTCTCAGCTATTCTAATTGATGGATACTGTTCAACTACTCTCTAATGCAATGATTTTTTATTTTATTTTATTTTTAAAAAAATAATAAATATGCAATTTTAAAAGAAAAATATGGTTCCGTTTGGTTTAGTTTTTAAATTAATATAATCTAATTTAATCTAATTATTTATTTTTAGATTAAAAAATCTAAAGAAACTATATTAATCTAAATTAATTTTTATAATCTAATTAATATAGTTTGTTTAGATTTTATTAGATTATAATCTAAATTAATTTAGACTAATTTAGATTAAAAAAGTCTGACTCAATATTTGGTGAGTTAATAGATTTTAATAAATCTTTAATTTATAAAAAATTAAAAAAAAAAATTTAAAAATGCTAATATGGCATAATCTGAAAGTCCGACTATTCTATACTCACTAATATACAACGGATTCGACGCATTTTATATCCTAAATTTAAGTACGTTTTTTGCAGCTACATTGCAGCCGACATTTTTTTTTGTAAATTTAATTTTTTTTTCCCCCCTCCAATTGTTTGTATAAATAGCACCTCTCCCGCGCACACAAGAGTAACCCAAGTCCAGTCATTTATCAAGACTACACTACCCATTACATTACATTACAAGCCTTCCCTTCAAAATGGGAATCCATGGCCACCATCAGTCACCGGTGCCGGCAGCAAAGCCAAAAACTCAAAACAAAAACATTGCTAAAGCCCTATATAAGGCCTTGGCACGAGGCAAATTAGAGATCGTCGCTCAACTACTGGCTACTGACCTCGAGTGGTGGTACCATGGTCCTCCCAATTGCCAACACATGATGCTCTTGCTTACTGGAAAATCAAGGCACAATAATAGTACTGATGATGGGTTCAAATTTAAACCTCGGAGCATCACGTCCGTTGGCGACCTTGTGATCTTGGAGGGGTGGGATGAACTGAAAAGGTATTATTGGGTGCATGTTTGGACGATCAAAGACAGTGCAATCACTCAATTTCGTGAGTATTTCAACACGTGGCTCACTGTGCTTCTTCAGGTACCGGAGGAGGCGAGGAAGGAGAGCGTCAGGCTGTGGCAGAGTGAGCCAGAACAGCGTTTGAACCGATCGCTGCCAGATCTCATGCTAGCCGTTTGATGTTGTTTTAATTGGTTTGATCATCATATGAATGAAATTAGGCTATGATAATTAAGGAGTATGCATATCATATGTTAATAAAATGTGAAATTTTACATTCTCGCATAAGAACACGTATATATATGTGAGTGCACATCTATGCTAGGGAATGGGTTATACAACTTTCAATAGCATCTGTATCAAACATATTTTCATGAATATGATTCGAACGGTTTAATTTGTAAGATTTATTAAAGATATGATTTATGAAGGAAAATTTCCTTGAAAGAATAAAAAAACAATTATCAACAAAAAAGATAATTTATTAATAAAAAGATGTCGGAAGAAATTGTATCATATGCTTTGACAAAAACATCAAAACTTTATTGACACTTAAAAGAACATCTATACATTTATCTTAAAATAAATGAATAATTTATTTTAAAAATCATATTTATCGTTCATTTATTTTAAAACAAATATGTACTAATTATATGACTACGCAAGTCTGATAAAACTATTTTTTTCCATTAATAATTTGTTCAGCGTCTGAAAAGTGGGTTCAGAGTGAACACACTACGGCCACAACGGCAGGTTGTGCTATGACCAACTCACAGCGGGACCTCGGTTCCATTTAGGCTTTTATCTCTATTAGTTGGTTTACCTTTATGAATATTATTGTAATCATATATAAATATAAACAAATAAAAATATTACAAAATTTGTGTATAAAATAATATGACTGCATTGAGAGTTAAAACATAAAAATAAAGTGTCAATTAAAATCATATTTAATTATAAAAATACCACCACATCATTTTCATAAAAATTTATGTACAATTTCTTCAGAATACCTGCAGAAGTTAAAAAGTAACGATAGTATTTGGGCACACAATTGCAAAGCATTTTTATGTTAAAAAAAACCCATCAAGTCTTGCATCAAAATGCTATAAAAAAGAAAAAGAGAAGAATAATGTTCTTCTATCTTTGTGTGTGTGCGTGTGTGCAGGGTTTTAGGGTGTGATAGGGGGAGGAACGGAAAGAACTTGGGTTTAATAGGATTCCTGTGGTTCAAATTTTAAGCCAAAAAAAAAGAAACCAAAACCAAAAACAAATGGAAACCAAATTTCCAAAAAATTGTACATTTCTATATATACTAACTCAAAATTTCCAAAATAGTTCTCACCGACCCCTTCTGAAAGAGAAAATCAGAAATTATGAAAACAAATAAATGTTCTCTACGGAGTTTTTTCGCAAACTGTTAGTCCATCACAACTTTACAGCATAGCATAGGGATCACTATGTCACCTAAATCCAGTGTGCTTGCAGAAGCAGTTTATCTGCACACCAAAAAATAAAAAAAAAAAGAGCATAAAACAAGCGTTAAAAAACAACACAGAAAAATGGACCAAAAGGTTTTATTGAAAATGAAAACACAACACTTCTTCTTTTGCGGGACTTGATGGCTGGCCTGGTTGGTTGCACACCCCCAACCCCCTCCCTTTCCTCTACACCCTCCTCCCCTGAGGTTTAGTCTAACACATTGATGTTCTTGTATTTCTAAAGAAAAAATAAAAAAATTAACCTACTTTTGAGGAAGCTCAAAACAACAAACCACACTTCTAGAATGCTTCCAAGAACACACCCATGCCCACCTAGTAGAAAGAATGATCATGAGATTAAATTTTGAACCATGATTAGAATCAAAATAAAAAGATTCTAAGAGTTTCGAACTCAAAACACCAGAGCAAACCCAAATCCCAGTATACTAAAAGATCCAAGATTTAGAACTTCAGGTTTTTGTTTGACTAGGAGCCTTGGCCAGGACTGAATTGGATACAAGATGGAAATTCAAAACCTCAAGGGAGTCATTTTGAAGATTATTACATCAAAATTTGCTTATATCTTGAAAGAGCAAAGTTAGGAGGCAAATGATGAAATGCAGTCAAGAAATTTGAAGCATATTTATTTGCAACACTCAAGACATTAAAACACAATAAATAAGTCATACATATAGGGCGGGTGTGAGCTCACCATTTGACAGGACTCTCTAAGCACTCGCCATAAGCTTGACTGTCAGCCACCAACAAGATCAGCACAGCAGGTAACTTTTCCAATTAAATCAACTTTGCCTTCTTTTGTACAGAGAATTCATATTACAGGTGGACGAGCAAAATCAACAAAGACCATTACTCACTGAATCTCGAGTCCCCAATATAATCTAAAAGAATATTATGCTTCATATGTGTTTGTTTAAGGTCAAAATGGTGACTGGCACAATGGGCAAGTTGATTTGTGAGAAGTTGAGAACCACTTGTAGAGGCAAGCAGAATGGAACTTGTGCTTGCAAGTCTTGCAAGCTAGGCGTGGAAGGCTGTGGTTGGTAGTGTGGATCACACTGTAACAGATAGGGCATTCCTCAACACCTTCAAATTCCTTGTCAAAATTGCTCTTCCAGATTCGTATTGCTTCAGCTAAGGCTCCATTCTGCATCACATAAGTAAGGCAAATAAACTATCTGCTTCTGGAAATGGTACAAACAAGCGTCCGAAGTGGGAATAAGCCAACAAATAGGCTCAAATAAATTGTAGGAAAAGATATACAAAAGGGTGCAGACAATAAAGATGACACTAAGAAACCATTTGATGTTGCAACCAAGTGCACGCATGTGTCTTCAACAAAGCACATTATTGTATATTTCAAATTGTTAGAAACATTCTAATTTCAGTTTCAGCCTATTTCCCCCTCACATCAATCAAAATTCAACTTACTTGCAATAAAACCCTTTTTCTACGTAACTGTTCTCCTTAAAGCATGTTCTTATTTAATTTTCTACAGAAGTTGAACAATTGAAACATGAGCAATGCCCGCTTGCACAAACCGAATACCCAATTAGAAATGCATGTTGTTCTGTCCACATCACTAAAATTTGATCACATAAATTGATGAATATGATGCATAACCAACTAACATATGTAGGAAGTACCTGACTACGGACAAATGACAGCATTGACATCAACCATTTCCTTTGCTTCACTTCGCTAATGCCAAGGCTCCTAGGACAATCAACATCCACAGCACGCAATGGATAAGATGCAGGAAGACGAATTACTAAATCCATTCCAGTTTCATCCTTTGTATAGGTAGCAACAACCTCATTGGCTGACTTGCTCACACTAACTGAGAAATTTTCATCAGCAAAGCTAGCTTTCTTGATCTGCAGTAAGAACAAAATTATTATAGAGCAAAATTATAATAGAGCTCTGTCCTAAAAAATTCATGAAATCGGAACAAGTATGACTTTGCCATCCAACAGTTTGGTGTCTCAAGCATGATAAAGTATGGAATAGGCAATTAGTGTGCCTGCAAGTTCAATGATAACTAACATAGAAAGACGAACAGATCACTCTCAACAACTTGCGGGGAAGAGAGAACCTAATAGGATTCTACAATTTTCTTGAAAATCACTTTTTTCGTAAAGCTACAAGTCTGATTCCACTCATCCAAAGGAAGTCTGAGAGACGCATTGAGAGGATTTAAGCATTGATTACTTCCGAAAGAAATGTAGATTCAATTATAGAATTATAGAAAATTAAACTTTCAAGACACAGTTCTAAAGACAATGGAACCTAAAAGTCTAAGTCAAAGTAAACACACCTGAGATAGTTCATTTGTGATTAGAGGTGGGCTACACCATACTTTCGTAAAATACTCAATTGCTGATGACATAGAACGGTCACGTATATCACTAAACCACCCTCGAACATAAGCAGGAAGAATATGAAGCATCAAACCAAATATTGCACCAGCAAGTGAAGCCATTTTCTCTGGTCCAACAGGCCAAAGTGACTCCACACAAAACAAAACTGAACTGCTTCTGATGGCTTGTGTTGCTGCAGCTGCAGCCTCTGATAACACAGCAGGAAGTTCTACATCTTTCTTCTTCAAGCTATGTGCCAAGCACAAATCCAATGGAATGTGCTGGAACAGGCAATCCAATATTGCTGAATTAGCATGCTCTTGTATATGTTGTTCCCTAGCAGGTGATGATGGTGGGAAGGATTGTAGACGTGATAACAACAAAGACCAAGCAAGAAAGACATTCACCTGTAGATTTAAAATAGATCAGTCTATGATAGCAACCATCACATCTTAATGGGGGGAAAAATCCAAAGGAAATTGAGGTTAAGAAAAACAAGCCAACAAGAAAGTTCGCACTTACACGTTGTGGTGCCACCAGGCCCATTTCAAGAATCTCATATGGAAAATTTTCAAGCATGCAAGAAATTTCCTCCCTCAAATGAACATCTTCTTCTGAAGACAAATCAAGACGATCGGAATCCTGGTCACCAGTGGTATCTCCATCCAAGGAACATGCAGTGTCTTCTCTAAGGATAGACAAGTTTGAAACAGGTTCAGATGAAAGAATAGCATATGCAGCAAACTGCAAACCAGGAAGTGGTTCGGAGGAAAAAAGGATTGCATACAAAGAGCTGATGGGCCCTTTGCTTAGCCCCCAAAGTTCAACTGATTTCACAGCTTTGTCTCTAGCATATGCAGAAGACTTTATAACACTTGAAGCAACCAACTCCCAAAAGTGAGGATGATCAAGCCTGGTTGATGCTACAATAAGTGAAGCCTCGTAGCAACAGGAACCTGCAATGGCCTCAGCAGCACCAGTGGAAAAGAATAAGCGAAGAATACCTTCTAGAATCCGATCTTTGATTAGATCCCATTTCTCAGTTCTCAAGGGATTCAAATTATCAGCATCTTCTTCCTTTTGTAATGCAACGACTCCACAAAATAGAGAAAAAGCAGCAAGGGCATTAGTAGCAATCTTTATAGGGTAAGGGTTTAACTCTGAAACAGTATGCCTGAGCTTAGTTACTGCAACTTCAGAGTTATTAGACGTAGAGCTGTTTGTTATGGCTTCGTTAGCATTTTCAGCTACTTCTTCCATCATCACCACCGCTGATTCAATCCACAATCTCAACCGATAGACCACAAACTCCCAATCTTCTTCATTAAATTCCTTCCAGCAATACCCAACTGAAACTACAATTAGATTTGATAATAACATCTGCACTGCTGGCAGCTTGTTATTTGCAGCTGTTGACACAGAACCATGTCTCTGCTTACGAAATAATTCAAGTAAAAGTTCCCTCTCCATGGGGCCGATATCTCTCTCTGGTTTTAACCCTTGTATTCCTGCTATTGCACTTAGTGGGTAACAAGATATAATCAGCTGTAACCAATCTTCCATCTCTGCAAAGGGGATGGGGGTGGGGCTGCAATAAGTCAGATTACAGCAACAGCAGGATTTTGAAGAAGATGAACAAGGAAGAGGGTCTTCCTCTTTATGCTCCAAACTAAAAATATACCTTAAGCCTAAAAATAAAGAAGAAAAAGTTAAAACCCGAGAAACATTCATCATTCAGTTCCTTTTGCACCTCGCAATATGGATTTTATTCTGATAAGTACCTTCTAACATGCAAATCACTAACATGACAATAGACGGATAGTAGAAATGCGTATTGCTCTTCGGCAAACTAGAGCCCCCTATGTATCAGGGACTGACCAGTGGTATTCTGAAACTAAAAAATGTTGTCCTAGGGACAAGTATTCAGCATATCACCATAGCAGCGCAAAATGAATTTACTTTATAAAAAAAAAAATATTCATTTACCTTCTCCAGTTTGCCATGTGTTTGAAGGTGGGAATAACAGAGTTTTTTGCAGCCAGTCCTTTATAGTATCATGTTGAACATCTCGATTGGATTCATCACATCCAATGCTCAATGGCCTAACAAGGACACTCATAACTAAAGGAAGAATCCTCAAACAATTCAAGTTAATTGCTTCACCAATGAAAAGTTTGTTTACAAGTAATTTAAAAAGTAATATAGCTTTGTCCATTTCCCATATATTGTCTTCAAATAGAGTAAGAAGTAAAGATGCAAGTGCTCTTAAGAAGGATTCTTCAACACTCCCTATTTCATCATATGAAACAGGCCAGACATAGGAAAGGCTCAGTCTACCACTAACTCCATGAACAAGAGCACCATCAAGCAAAATGTTAACAATAGAGTCTAACAAACTTTCCTCACGAGAATAATTCCCATTCTTCCCATATGAACTCAGTAAAGGTAAGAAAGAGCTCAAAGCACTGCCACCATGCCATTTCCATGTGCATAATATTTCAGCAGCAAGCCAGGCTCGAGAATAATCAGATTGAGAGGTAATCAGTTCTTTTGTTGCTTCCTCAGTTGAAGATGGAGTAAGTGAAACAGAACCAGCAACAACCATGTCAATCCCAATCTTAGATACAAGCTCATCAATTACAGCAACAAGTATGTGATTCCTGGATGCCTACACAGTAATCATTTGGAATTTATAAGTTGTCCATACCCTGAGTCCTATTATATAACAATATATGATTCATATAAATTCAGAACAAAACTTGAGAAGAAACAAATAAGGATTCTTTCATGGCTACAGTGACTAGTCCTGAAAATGCAGGATTTCCAGGTAAGAAAGGGGCACAGGTGTAGGCCATAGATAATAAGATTTTTATTTATTTATTTATTTATTTCCAACAAGATTAAAAAAGAAGAAACTTGAAGATACATGCGAGAATTTTTTCAATGTAGTTAAAAAAACTGCATGGAAACAAGACGAGTTCTTTAGCTTCACATTCTGCACCCTGGCCCTAGGTTTTCTACCCATTTAGGCCGTAACTTTTAAATATATATTTCATTCCTTCAATTGCCTTTCATGTACTTGAAGATGAGCAAAGTGGTTCAGGACACGGCACTATATTCATACAAGTGACAGCCAAGACAAGACAGAGGCAGCATTAGGCAGCGACAAGGAATCCTCTCGTTTGAGTAGAATCTGTGCTTTGGTGGGCACCAGGCACGCAGCAAGAAGTTGCCCCATGGTTGCAAAAGAGAACAAGGGAAGTCTCCTCTTATTAAAATACTTCCAAAATATATTCCCAATGCTTTGGTAACCCAAAAAAAAAATGTGAACTTCCTTAATTCATGATTCATAAGAGAAAAAATGCCTCAATCAATGATTAGTAAGAGGAAATAGGGAGGACAATGCATTAAACGAATGCAGGAAGTGATAGCTTCATAATTACACAGGAACTGATCAAAGCATGCCCATGTCCTATTGCATAGACCAATAATGTAAGAACAAGATTATCATAGTAAACTTTTATAGCATACCTGTCTAATCAGAAAATGTCAGCAAGAATAAATATCAAACAAAGCACTTACATTAATGGAAATGTTTTCTGTCTTCAAGGTGGCTGATCTTTCTCCTGTAGAGAAATCTGGTAAGATCCACAAAGGCCAGGAATCACTCTTGCTCAAAAACTGGTCTAACAGTTCTTGTTCCTCAAATTGATCCTGACAGAGACATCCAAGAACTTCAAGCATCCAAAGGCAGCACAAAGATGTTACTTTATTAGTATCAAATTCATCCTCCTTGAATATGGCAAACCTAATAGACTGAACCAAAATACTTCCCAAACTGTTCCGATTGTTTCCATTGAGGCTTTTAAAGAATTGACTACTTATCTTGCTACGAAAATCATGCACAGATGCAGAACAATCCAACCTGTCCTTCATTTTTCTAGTACTTTCACCATCAAGTGCATCATCAGACACTATGGCCATGCTATATTCCCAGTCAATGAGAAAAATTGCAGCTAAAGTACTTCGGACTAACCAACTTTCATCTTCAATAGTCTTTAAGCAAAATAAGCTTCCATCAAGTACTTCAAGTGCAAAATGAGCCATTTCAGGCACAGGCACGGAATGTTCAATTCTTAGCACAGAATCATTTGCCTCAGCAATTAATAAAGAACATGCATCTCTGATCCAAGTAAAAGTAGAATCCATTGTGAAGGTTACTAACTTTTTGCAGAACTCTTTAAAGATAAGGATCTTAGCATTTCTAGACACAAAAGAAGTTTGATCATCTTCTGTTGAGCCACCAAGAACAGCTCTGTTTTAATAGATATGACAAATGTCAGCATTTGAAACCATAAAAATATGACAGTATGCAACTACCAAAGTAAATACTCAAGCAAGCTTCTAGTGAAAAAAAATAAATAAATAAAGAAAAAAAAGAGAGCAGCATTTCAGAATGCAATTCTGATGGTCACAGAAATGATTAATCACGATTGCTTATCAAAAAGAAATTATTAGTCTTGATAGATACACGTATCCCAATTGAATAATTCTTAGGTATATAAACCCACTTTAGGCTGGTTGGTTGCCTCATATCTTGTAAGAGAGAGAACCAGAAAATTGGCAAACTGGCCTTGTTTGGGAATTGATAGTTGCTTTTTTATGAGGTGAAAAAAAGAAAATGTGTTTGGGAATGGCTTTTTTTAGTTGTATTGAAAACCGTGAATTACCGAGATGTTTGACCTTTTTTAGTGGCTTTTGGCTTTTTAACTTTTTTAGTGACTTTCAGGCTTCTTGGTCTTTTTTGGCTTTTTGGCTATTTTTTTGGCTTTTTGGCTATTTTAGCCAAAGAGCCAGGTTGCCAAACAGGGCCACCTGTCAGGATGCCGACTAAGCAGTATGTTGGTAATTAGGTGGAATCGAGAAAAACATCAAGGCAAAGGACAATTCAAAAGAGCATGGATCAATAAGTAACATAGATAGATGGAAGTGCAATCCAATATTTGCAAGGTATAAATGACTAAAATGCATGTTATCAAAATTTTATATTTGCATACCGCAGGAACCGAGCATCAGAACTCCTGAAGGAAGACAAAGAACGGGCAATAGAAACAGCAGATGAATCTAGAAGTTCATGATGCCAGTGGTCTGAGTGGGAGCCTTGCTGATGATCAAGTCCTACTCCCACCTTTCTCTTTATAATTTCCACTCTTGCTTTCTCTATGAGCATTCCCAAGACAAGTATGTGGTTGGGGTCTGGAGTCTCAGGCCCCACTCCAAAACGTTCTGGATCGGTTGCATATGTGATAATACAATGCCATTGTTCTGAAAAGCTTTCATTATCAAGTAACACAAGCAAGAGATCAAGTCGAGCATTGGTGGAAGAACCATTTCCTTGCAGGCACCAAGGTACAAATATTTCCTTGTACAGCTGCAGAAACTGCTCTGAATCCAATTCTCTGTTCAATTCATCAGAAAGACTACGAAAGAAAGTGCTATCATTGCAGACGAGTTCTCCAACTATCTTGCGTGGACCAAATACCGACACTGCAACCGATGCAAGTCTCACAATATCTGGCGAATCCTGTCAAAAACATCAAATACAACAATTAAGATAGTAGTACAGGAAGAAAATAAATACACATTAAAAATTGTCAACTGAAAAACTTCAAGCACAGTAATTTATCATTGCATTTCTTAATGCAGATATGAAGGCAGAACCTTATATACTCCTTTTCATTCTATGAAGCACGGGTATGGATACGTGTACGGATGATACTAGTACGATACGGGTACGTCGATACAGTAAAATCCAAAAAAAGTGGAGTACAGGTACGGCTTGGTACGCTTGTAAAAAAATATTTATTTTTAATTTAGAGTAATGTAAAAATTAATTAAATGGTTTAATTTGTTAAGATTTAACCTATAATTAACATTTAATTAGTGGAGTAGGTGATGTGGTAGTGGTGTAGTGGGTTAGGTTTAGTGGAGTAGGTTTAAGTGGGTGAAGTAGGTGGAGAGTAGGTGGATTTTAACAAATTTTAAAAAAATGCTAAGTATAAAACTAAAAATAAAAAAGAAGTCTAGTGAAAGGAGTTTCATCTCTGCAGTAGAAGAAAATATTGTTTCAACTGAGGTACGGTGCCGTTTGGGTATATAGTAGGTATGTCTGGGTACGCCAAAAATTAAGAAAAGAAAATGTGGGTACGTGTTTCGTGTACCCGGCACGTATGCAGAAGTACCATACAAGGTACCATACGCCGGTAAGTACCCGGTACAGGTACAGCATGTTTTTCGAAGTACCCATGCTTCATAGTTTTCATTAAACCAAAATATATAGTACGACTAGCCATTAGAACAACTGCAATATTTTACATTAATGAAATGAAATGAAATGTTAAACTATAAAACTAATACATTAGTTCTCCATATTGTACTTTAGCTTCAGACCTTTTGATGCTCTAGCTGTGCATTACTGTATATGTCACCTACGGCTACAGACAACAATCCTTCTCTGTGAACAGAAGACACCAATACAAAAATGATACATCCCAAAACATAAGGAATTCTACGCTTCGTGAAGCTTATCAAAACATCCAAATAATCTTATGTACGTTGTATATATTTATAAAAATAAAAACTAAAAAAACTAACATAGAAAACAAAGTAATGAATAAGATAAAGATTTTTATTTTAAAAGGGGTTACAGAGGTTGTGTGTCACCTAAATATTATGTATTAGCCATTGTGTAAAACATGCCTGACAAGTTACAACCACGATGAGAGTCTAACAAAAGATGCACAACAGTTAACTTACAAGTGTTTTTATCAATGGGAATGACTTTGCCAACATTGGTCCCACCATATTAACCAAAGGCCATTTTTCACCTTTCTGCACTGCATGTTGCCCTAGTAATAACAAAAATTTGATGACCAGTTCTATAAACTCCGAAGAACTTTCTGTGTTCTCTGTTTGCTGAAATATCTCAAAGCAATTCTCTTGAAATTCTGTGCAAAAAGTCAAGAGCAGATCAAGGTCCCGTGAATAAACCCCTGAAAGGATCTCAATGATGCATTTCCCCAACTCTTGCACGTAATCCATTGGATACTTGATCTTGAGTGTTTCCACTGTTTCCTCGTGAAAAGGCCGAACATTAATCTCAGATGGATCCCTCATTTGCCCAGAGGAGACTCTATCCTGTTCTTTTGAGTTGATTGGTAGATAGTCGTGCCACAGAAGCTTCAGAAGGATCTTGTCAATGAGAGTAACTTGTAAAGAATGAATGGCATCTGCTCCAACACAATATCTGGTGTGCAAACAATAAGAAAATGTATATTAGGGCCAAACAGATAGGAGGGTAAAAGACAAGTTCAATGAACTCCAACCTTGAAGCATTTTGCAAACTCCAAAGAAAACATTCTCTAAATGCCCGGAAAAATACTAGTCGATCAGCATTTAAGGAATGTGACGGGTTTCTTCCAGCCCAAAAGTTTTGGAAAAAATCAAGGAAGAACTTCTCCGCCACTATTGCCTTAGGAGGGATAGCATCTAGAAATAGAACTAAAGCTGGATAAGAAACTTGCTGAGATCCAAAGCACCCATTCCTAAGAAAATGCCAGAACCGATTTAGCAGGGATTTTTGAACATTGAAGGTGGTCCAACTGTCGGGAAATCTTTTGGAAAATACCAACATAGTCTCCCACATTGATGAATGGCAAGCTGGATCCTTTTCCTGGAAAGAACCAAGAATTGCTGTGGCGAGAGTTTTCATGTTTCCTTCATTGAAAGCATGAGGAATGTTTTTAATGAAACTCCTTAGCATCGAATATGTAGCTGATCGAATAGCAGGGCTTTGGGACTTAAGAAAATCAAGGAAGTATTTATGTGCAGAGAACAACTTCTCTGCATAAGCAATGGCTGTGGTCCGTGCTTTTGAAGCTTTATCATTATTGGTCTCAGCAGCTGTATTTTCAAAACCAGGTTTTCCAAATTGCAAGTCCATCAAAACATCAAGGAAAGTGGCCAATGCCAGCAATGATGAAGAAACCACCTGTAACACAGAGAATCAAGACAAAAAAAAAATCTAGGAATTAAAACAAGAATGGTCAGACACCATATTTGAAAGTACCTCTCCCACATCCAACAACTTATTGCAAGACACTGGTCTAACATCCATACACAAAAGGTGAAAAAAGAGAGAATGAAAAAAGAAAACTTTAGGAATGTTCTCTTAGGAGAACATAAGCATCCAAATATGTTAAATTTGTTATGTTTCCTGAGTGTCTACGATGCTATAAAGAATCCTCCTCCCAAGGGGCACTCAGTTTTGTACTTTATATAAGATCTTTGATGAGTCAATGACAATCAAGCTTAATGGCAAAGTTCTCCATGACAGTGCTGCCCCCAGTGACAAGGAAACTCAAAAATAGAAATGTCTTGACAGGTTCAAATAAACATGTTTCTCTGAATCATTGAATTCAGGTCAAAAAATCCACTTAAAAGGAAATCATTTCATAATGGCAAGGCTCCATGGAGCATGGATACTTCGAAAAACATGTCATACCTATACCAGATACTTACCGAGTACTAATATTTCGTATGATACTTCTGCATACGTACCAGGTACATGAAACATATACTCAATTTTTTTTTTCTTAATTTTTGGCATACCTAGACGTACCTAGAATATACCTAAGCCGTACCTATTTTCTTCTAATACAAAGGTAAAATCAATTCCATTGGACTTCTTTTTTATTTTTATTTTTATGCTTAGCATGATTTTAAAATTAAACTATTGTTTGTAAGCTATTTAACAGAGTAATGCTAGAGACTCCAAAAATTCTACCAAATGTCTCACATGGGTGTGAGACCCACACATAACAATGATTACAGACCCTAGTGCCTTTCGGCTAATATAAAATACTAAGTGACTTTCGGTGATTATAATATGCCAACAATACAAAGGTAAAATCAATTCCATTGGACTTCTTTTTTATTTTTATTTTTATGCTTAGCGTGATTTTAAAATTAAACTATTGTTTGTAAGCTATTTAACAGAGTAATGCTAGAGACTCCAAAAATTCTACCAAATGTCTCACATGGGTGTGGGACCCACACAATGTGGGTCCCATACCCATGTGAGACATTTGGTAGAATGTTTGGTAGAATTTTTGAGGTCTCTAGAAGAGCTCGTAGTGTAAGTAAAATCCACCAACTACATCATACTTGACAGAATCAAGACCCATTGACAGCGAGAGAAGATTCAGGTGCTCCATCTCTTCCATTAAGATTTCTTTTGGAAAAAACTGAAGCCTGTGGGTTTTCTTCCTCATATGATGCTAGCAACAAACAGCTCAGAATTTTCTAATCAATAGTGAAGTTTATAAAAATAGACCAACAAGCTTTGCTTTAAAGAAGCACCTCATGTCATATACCTTCCCTGATTCCCCTGTGCTTACCTCAAAACAAACATTATTGATGATGCTGTCCAAGCCTCTTACTCAGGGAGATCCCAAGGTCAAACATCCCAAGTTTCTCATTAAAAAGTAAAACCACTAGGTAATGAACCTCCAGTTCCATTTACAAGATCTGTATTCACAGAAAGAAGATAAAACCAGTATTTTTTTTTTTTTTTTGCAAAGCATGCAGTTTTTGGCCAGGTTTCTTTTAATTATATATATATATATATATTATTTTTATGCCAGTATTTCTAACAGTCTTCATGAAGTAGAATTATGTTAAACAATGTCTTCATAGAGTAGATTACATTAACTAATTAACGACCTACCTTACCTTGAAGAGTAATGTAAGAATAAAGATACTCAATGAAACTGAAACTAGTAATTATACAAGATAAGTTGCAAAACACAAATGGGCAAGACATAATCATCCAGTCAAGTGACAAGTTTCATTATTTCTTCGTGAACATGTTGCATATTCTTGCAAAAAATAACAGAAACTCACGCTCCTTATTAACCAAACAAATTTTAAAACAAAATATAAATAAGCAATGATATATATGAGAAAGTTATCTTGATCCCATATAAAATACCTGCCGGTGTATTTCTTCCAATTCATCCAAAGCAACTGCCTTGTCAGACATACTCTTTGGAGTGAGATTCAGATTTTCTTCTAAATAAATAAATATCTCAGTCGTGCACAAAATTAAGGCATCTAGTCTTTTCTCCTGTGCTGGAAAGGCTGCCTGTTAATTTAACAATAAGATTGCCTTTTATTAGTTGAGGTGCGCATAAGCTGGCCTGGACACCCGATTATCAAAAAAATAATAATACTAATAAGATTGCCACAGTGAACATAGCTTCAAATAAACAACTGTTTGAGAAAGTTAAATGAAAAAGGGGTAGCAACATGGGAACTTTGCTTGAAAATAGAATAAAAATTTGCTAACAAGAACAATATAGCTATAAGCAAAACAATAGATATTGAACAATCTTGTACCTAAAAAAAAGGATGCTTGGAAAAGTTAGGAAACTTAAATTAATGTAAATGTTGGCATACTCAGACACTAAGTTTATAATAAACTGGAAGAAATGATAAACATATACATAAACCACCCACAATGAAAAACAAACTATGTCCAATGACCAGCATCCACAAGAAAGTTCTTCAGAATTATAACAACTTCCTACAACTTCAACAATATTGAAGTATTAAGAGAGAGAGAGAGAGAGAGACAGACACAGACACAGACACAGACACAGAGAAAGAAGTAGCACTACCAAAGATCTAAACTGTTTATATATATATAGATAAATGCATGTATTATTCATCGCAACTGAATGGCCTTGTGAACCAGTGTCATCCAAACCGGCCTGGTTTAGATGGTCAGACTTATAAACTGGGGCAGAAGCGAACACACAAAAGTGGTCTCTTCTTTGCCTCACCAAAACCGGTTACAAGTTAATATTTATTCCAACTATTGGTGCAAACCAAGTTTACGATGAAGTAATGATGACAAATTCCCAACTTCATCCACCAGTAACTTCTGCCCAATCCCAAATTGACAACATACTTTCCTTAGCCGGTTGGACATGGACCAAGTTCCACAGCACACTAATTTCTTCTGTTCATCATATCTTTAAATTCTCATAAATTTTCTTAGCTTAAACATTGTGCAAGATCTTGAGATTTCCATAGTGACATCAAGACGGCAGGTTAGTTTGCAAATTAATTCCCATGAAATGATTCACAACAGTTGCACAACTAAACATAAACAAAAATGAACCTGCAACGACCGCTTAGCAGCTTGAGAAACTTCAGAAGCTGGATCAAACTGAGAAAACCACCATGGTCCCATCAGAGACTTCAGATGCGGGGCTAAGTCTCTCCTGTGGAGAGAGAGAGAGAGAGAGAAATCAACAGACATATTCTAAGGGAATTTTGTGAAGAGTGAGTAAAAAGACACATTACTTGCAATCAATATGGAAGTATTTCAACAGCTATGTGTAAACATTATAAACTTGCAACAAAGAGATTGTCAGACTGATAATAATCAAAGGCATGACACCCTAGCTGCAGAAATATGAAATTCTAGAACCTGCTGCATGGATCAGTCATAGTTTTCCATCCATGCTTGTTTTCTTAAAAAAATTACTTCCTCTCTTGCACTTAAATCAAATAAAGTATGCTTTCCATAAAGCCTAGAATCCATTACACCATGTCAGTCACACTAATGCAAGATGTTGGGAGGGCAGTGCTGAACATAGACCTAATCATTGGCATTATTTGCACAAAATGGTAATGCTCATAAAACTACATGCCCAGCTTGATTGCTAGAGCTGTTACCACTGCACCAAGTAATGGTCCCTTGTTCTCATCAAGTAACTTAAATCTGGACCAAATGGTTCGCAATCACCCAATTTATCCACAAGCTACTAAGCATAATGCTAAGAAACTTGAAACCCCTACATGTGGAATCCAAAATCTGTCCCCTGAAAAGGGGATCGATAATGATTGTAAAGGAAATAGAAAAGTCCATGAGAAAGATAAAGAGTAAAAGGTTGGAAAATCTATAGATTTAACAAGCATGCTATCACTGGAATGGAATCTAGTTATTCTAAATGAACTGGTACCTATACCTTTATAGGCTCCTGTTGCTGGCTGTAGTCGTGGGAGGTGGGGGCTCTACCCAAAAGCATGCAACAACACAATCAACAGTTGAGCCCACCCACTCTACTTTCATTGCGTGTGTGTGTGTGTTGATTGGTATTATCGATGTCAACATAATTAGCATCCACAAGAATCAGTTATAAATGTCTTCCCCTTCTATTGTGGATTTTAAACTAACACACTAACTTTAGAAAACAGCTAGCAGATATGAATCACAGCAAAAAAAAAAAAGGCAAAAAAATCGAGCCCAACTTCAATAAAACTTCAAAAAGATAATACCTGACAGCGGCAACAAGAAGAGTCATTGTGTCATGAGTAGCTCGCCGAACCTCTCTATTGTAGTCCAACAACAGCCTTTTATATTCAAATGCCTAAGCAAAAACATAAATAAAAGGCAGGAAACTATGAGTCACCAATCAGTGAAAGTAATCATACATCCAAGAACAAGTCTTAGCTCAGCATATAACACAAACCACAACATCAATAACTATCATCCAATGTGTTCAGGCAGAAGTGATGATAATTGAGAGTCCAAAATCCAACCCTTGCAGAAGTTATTAATATTTTATTTTTTTCACTTTATACTATCTGAAAACTGTGGATGGCTGGTGGCGAGTTGGCTAAGGAATGCCCTCTGGAATAGTAAGGGGTGGTTTGGGATGATTTAAATAAATCCACTTTTTGACTTTTTGTGAAATATGGGTTGGGTATGAGTTGGGTTTGAAGTGATGTGGTAGAGAGGTGGTGTGACTTAAATAAGATGATGTGACTTAAATAGGATAGTGACTTTTTGACTTTTTTAGAGTACTCCAAACAAGGCCTAAGTACTGAGATGGCTGGAGACCACTGGAGGTGGGAGAAGAGAGAGCCAAGGCAGCCTTAGGAAAGAAATCAAGATGGTGGTAATAGAGAGCTTTGTATGCCAGAGAGTAAGGAGAGGCCTCGAGGGACGTCTCATATGTGGACAATTGATAGACATGATACAGCCCTTTCGGTTGTGTCAAAGTGGCTCAGCGGCAGATATGATACAGCCATCAAGATATCACATATTTTGGTCAAGGTCCCACCTCTCTATAAAACAGGGACCATTATCTTTTAGAAATTAAGCACTTCATTTTGTTTTCATGATAATACCGTTTTGTCTCATTTTGTCTTCATGAAAGCAAGCAAATAAAAGAAACTGTAATACTCAACATTTTGTCTTCATGATAGTACCATTATCTTTTAGCAATTACACACTTCACAACAACTATATAATGGACCATTGATATGTGAGAATCGCAATGAAAACTCATATCAATTACAAATGGCATAATCACAGGGGTCCACACACTTATTGCAGGGGTAAATGGAGGAAAAAATTTAGGATTAACTGATGATTAAGTGCTTTAGTTGAAGGTGTTATTTTTGTAATTTCTCATTTTCAGACTTGATTGACAAACTGTATTTTTTTTTCCTTTATAATTTTCTCAGTTCAAGACTTAATTGCTAGAATCTCTCTCTCTCTCTCTCTCTCTCACATAATCAGCCACACCAATGAGCCTACGAAAGCATAATTATCAAAACCACACAGCTCCATTTTGGTAGCCAGTTTGGTTGACCCCAACTAAGTGGCAAACTCTAAAATATAACTGGGTTAAAACAAAGCCAATAGGCATACTGATTGACCAACACCAACCAGTGAAATTGCAAGTTGACTTTTGTTGACCCATCTTCAGTTGTTACATCTTTATATCCAACTTTGGCCTCCATATCATGACTGCTTCAGCAGGTAAATGGCCACTTCAATAGGAAAAAATGCGTACTGCTCACCATTGTTATTAGAATCGTACAATTCACAATTTGATACGAGTTTCAACAAAAACGATTCAAATCATTCTATTGAATCAAAAATTGAGTGAATCATACGATTCAATTTACGATTCATTGCAATTCACTATGATTCATTGCGATTCAATTTTATTTTTATTTTTCTTTACATAATACATGAAACAAAGTTATTTTTGCCAAACTATGAAAATATATAGAAGAGATTAATTAGTTATATTGATATATGAGATTTTATACGTATATACATATATATAATTTAGTCATACTGATAATTTACCTTATTTTAAACATTTCATGTATTTTTATATGTATATAAATACATAGAATTATATATCATATTAAATAAAATGAATCTTACGATTCACAATTCACTATTTTAGCAAAACGATTCACTATTCAATTCACGATTTGACAACAATGCTGATCACTTTTAAAGAGCATGAGATGCTTATGAAAGGCTATTTCAACTATAGCTATACAAAATATCACTTGAAAGCACTAGAAAGCAATAGAAAGAGCATGATCATAACATGCATTCCTTAAGCAGCTGGCATGGTTATTAAAATCGCGATCCGGATAGTAGGATTGTACTACATTGCTAAAATGATCCAGATCATTGTAGGATTGGTGTTATAATAGGATCACAAGTAGGATCGTGTAGGAACATATGGGATAGTGCAAAATCGTAAGTAGGATCGTAGATTTTGTGATTTTTCATCTTATTTTTAATATGTATCATTCTAATTTGTATTTTTATCTTGTTTTTAATAGAAAGTAGGATCTTATGATCCTCGATCCAATCCATGAGACCCTCTCACCGATCCTACCTAGGATCCCGATTTTAACAATCTTGGCAGCAGATGAATCAAGAACAAAAAAGCATACCCATTGTGGAATGATTGGTACTATTTCCTTGCTGGATTTTTGCTTGAAAAGTGTAGACAAAGATGCCAAAGCTTTAAGCTGTAAAAGAAGAAAAGTCAATGAGCTTTTTAACTAAGAATAAAACACTTGCAAATTAAATATGGTTGAACATGAAGATGAAATGCACCAATTATATGAAACAATAGAGATAGATATAGAGACCCAAACAAACAAAAAAGGTCCCAAGAATCACAACAAAACCAGACAAACACAAGCAAAAATGCAAAAATACCAAAATAATAATAATAATAAATCACACTAACACCCCTTGAGCTTCTTGACAATTATGTCCACCCAATCAGGATTCTAAAATAAAATTGCACCCCATCAAAGTTGTCCGGTTGATGGAAGTTAAATGGAATTACACTATGCAATGTTGCAATATGTTAATTCAAACAACATTAGCATCTATTCCTCTTTTCTCTCTCTTTATCTTGCTCTATCATAACGGCCACACCAACACCCCAAAAGAAAGAGAAAAGGAACCATCACAAACCCACAAACACCAACAAATGGTAGTCTCTCACCAACTGCCGCCACAACCATGTTACTATATCTCTCCCCTCTCTCTCTCTCTCTCTCTCTCTCTCTCTCTCTCTATTTTACAATGCAATTTTCTTGACTAACAGGATATCCAATCTCTCTTTTTTTCTTTTCTTTTTTTTGTTCTTTTTGTCTTTTTTTATTTTATTTTTTATGTTAAGGAGACTCAAACTTAAATTTCTTTATTGAGTGAACGTTACCTAAGCCGTTGGGGGAATATTTTTTTTATTGGCACCGGGGTGTCCAAATCAAAGCTTGACTAATCCGTAGGGATGCACAGGTTCTCGGCAAGGAGTTTCCCCAATTATGACACACCACCATGGCTGCCATGCCTTCCGATAGTCTATGAATCTATAACAGTAGTTTGGTAAAATGCATACAATCTCTTAAGGTCATATTCAGTAAACAAGGCTCCTGGTTATAGTAAGATCCAGGAGAGATGGCACATGTATGCAGTCTCACCCACCTTTTTTTTTTTTTTTTTTTTTTTTTTTTTTTTTTTTTTTGTGTGGAGAGGTTAATTCTCGTGACTTAAACCCAATGAAATATAAAAAGGCTGCATTAATATCTTATTCTTTATTTTTATTTTATTTATATTTGAATAAGATATACTGAATTTTTTCTTTACCATTAACATGAAAAAATTTAGCTTAGACTCAACCCACCACAAGAGAGAGATGGAAAATCAGTCATAAAGCAACTCATAAACACTCTTTTCTTAACTAACCAAACTTCTACAAAAGTTGATACAAAAATAATAATAATAATCATTACATGTAACTGTACTGTTACCTTGGTGGTTGGATCCTTCCTGGCAAGCCTCTTCAAGTGCTGTGCAACTTCACCATCAATATCCTGCAATGCCAAGACCACTGAAAGATCAATAGAAACAATAAACAAACAAGACATCATAGCATAAACAGTACGATTCCATCTCCGACTCCAATCAACAAGCCAATAAGACACTAAACTCCTTTTTTTCTTTTCTTTTTTCCTTGCAAATTCTTGAATTAGAACAATGGGTATTTAACCAGAACAAAAAATTTGCTCAGCTGAATTGAGAATAACATAGTAGTGTTTTCAAGGTTTTTAACTGTTTTGCAGACAATTAAAACGCAAATAAATAAATAGAACATTAAATTTTGAAACCCATTAATGAAGCAATCAAAGTTATAAACTTTCTCTAATGGTGAATTAAAGATTGAAATAAACTGAGAGAAAGAATTACCAAAAAGGGGACAGAATCATCGGTTGAGAGAGCCGAATCGACCCGCGAACTACCCACAAAACCCCCGAATCCAACGGCTGTAGAACCCGACGGCACGAGCGAAGCAGCCAGACTTGAAATTTTTTTAAAAAACACACAATAATAATAATAATAATGATTTCATCAAAAGTAGAATTCAAAAATTAAAGAGAAACAGAAAAATTGGAAAGAGAAGAAGAATTGATTTTACCTGCTGCTGGAGGGACGTGCCTTGCTTCTGTTTCCATCTCCTTTCTGTCTCCCCATTGATATGCTTACTTATTTATTCACTCAAAAACTCTGCATGTTCTTTCTATTCTATCTATCAATCAGAATACCTAAAACTCGGAGATTCTTCCATTCTGTTGAGTTGAGTTTGGCCCCAAACTGGGATTTTTACTTTTATTTTTTTGGCTTGTTCTCTCTGAAAAAGTTGAGAAAACCCTTTGTTAAGGCCTGTATAGGGCCGAGTCGGTTCGTCCTGGCGGAGTAAGCCGCCTTCCCTATTCTCGATTTACGGCCGACAAGCTCGGTCTCGTAAAAATAGCAGGGGAAAAAATTACAATTATGTTCATTTGTAACGGAGTATAAATGAAATGTTTCGGGAGTGTAATTGTCATTTATATGATAATTTTTTTTTCAATTTTTCATCTGTGTGTAATTCTCCAAAATAGTAAGGCCAAGTTTGGGAAGACTAAAAAAGTGCACTTTTTGTCTTTTTGGACTAAAAAATTGAGGTTGAAAATATGGATGTTTGGGTTAACTTTTTGACTTTTTATTGAAAAATGTGTAATAAAAAATTGTAAAAATTGATTTGTAGGGAAAAATTAGGGAAAAATTTGAATTGGGAGTTGTGCAGCCGTAATTGTTGACTTTTGGTGAATAGTGTTAACTTTTTAGCTTTTTGAGTAACTTTTTGACTTTTTGGCTTTTTTGGATCTTCTCAAACTTGGCCTAAGACTTAAAAGTGTCGCCGTAAAATATTAAATTAAAAATATATATAATTTTACTTCTCACATAATTATAAATTGACATAAAAAAATTATAGGGTAAATTATAAATATATTGCCCAAGATTACTTAAAATATGAATTAGTTTTTGTGATTTAAAAAATTATAAATATCTCTTTATTCGAATTTTTTATTTAATAAAATTAATTGAAAGAGTGAAATTTCTAACTCTTTACATATATAATAATAAAATTATCTGAATTATTAATTGAAATAAAATTTTAACATTATTAAACTGTTAATTAATTTGATAATTTATTAATAAAATGACTTATTTGTTATGAAATTAAAATCTTAGAGGGCATAATATAATTTCTAGAACCACAGAAATAATTTATAATTTAAGTAAATTTCAGGCTGTGTTTGTAATTTATCCAAAATTATACTTTTTAACTATTAAAGTTTATGAAATTTGTTTTCAAAATTATGCTGAATTTTTACTCTTCTTAAAATTTTCATAATACCAAACAATGAATAGGTGTATATGGATCCAACTCTTTTATGTCACATTTGTGATTCATTTTATAAAAATTAGGGTAAATTATACTGACAATCCTGAAGTTTATATTTATTATAATTCTTCTCTTACATTTGAAAAATTATATTGATCCTTCTTGTCAATGTAATTATTTGATCGTATTAACTTTTAAGTAAAAATGGCATATTTACCCTTAACCTTTACATATATTTTAAAAGATAAATTACATTGACACCCCCTGAGGTTTCAATTTAATACGGATCCCCCTGATATTTAAAAAAAAACTAATTTAATAAAAAGAAATATAAAGAAATATATTTAATTTGTAAAAATTATTTCTAACCACTCAAAATATAAAATTATATAAAAATAATAGTTATTTTTTATTTCTTATTTCTTAACCAAATTAATTTTTAATTTTTCTTTTAAAAAGATTTAAAAATAAATTTCTAAAAATCGAACTAAATATATTCGAAGATTTTTTTGACAAGTCATTTATTGTGTTTTTAACTTATTTAATTATGATTAATGCTTGGGAGCACTAAAAATGGAGCAGTAATGAGCTGGCTTCTCCCTTGATGTGATGGTTGTCTCCTTTTTTTTTTTAGCTCATTAGAGCTGCTAGTGCTATGTTTTTTTAGTGGTCTCAATCAGTTCTGTTTAATTATTTGTTAATTTTATGATATTTTCACTATCTGACATTACAACATATAAGAGTTTTAGAGACTAATTTTTTTGATCTCTAAAAATAAAAATTTTGTCATCCTAAAAAGTAAAAAAAAAAAAAGCTTTTAGCGATAAGATTTCGAAAATGTCAATAATAAATAGACTTTTAGGAACAAAATAATTTGGCCTCAAAATGGTTTATTTTTTGAAATAAAAAAATTGATACCAAAAAGATAATAATTAATTCCTAATGTTCAATTCTCGTTGCTAAAAATATAATAATAACACTTTTCACAATAAAAATATTTAGTCTCTTAAAAATAATTTTGTCCCTAAATTTTGGTCTCTAAAATCTTAATTTTTTGTAGAGTGATACGTGTTTTTCCATTGTAATTTTACATTTCATAATTCATTTAAAAATGATAATTTAGCTAAACCTCTGGAAAAGAATCTGTAATTTAGCTAAATCTCAAGAAAATGTAGGTAATTTGTCCTTATTTGTCAAAAGAGCATTTCAGTTAATTTATAATTTTTGTTATCATCTTTAATTGCAATGGAAAGAGATATAATTTTTAAAACATTTGAAGAAAATTTATAATTTCATTAAATTTAGGGGAGGTGTAGTAAATTCCGCCAATAATTATCTACAACGGGGATGGGTCCCAAAAATCGAGGATTTTGGTGGGGTCCCGCAAATCTGGACTTTCATGTTTTTGTATGTTTTGTTTTGTTTTGTTTTTAATTTTTTTAAGGGACCCAATGTGACATGTTTTTATTAGTGGGGCCACAAATACATCTTTATTGTTAGGAAATGCCCTACCTGACCCTTCTGTCGGTTACATGGAGCAGGCTGCTACTGCTGCAAAATGCTATTTGACCGCCTCGTGACCGTACTGTGTCCCAGCTGGACTCCACCCTCAATATAAAGAGACGGGACTCCTCTGCTTTTCTCTTCCTTTATAGCCCTGTTTGGTACAGTTTAATTTTAGCTTATTTCACCTTTCAGCTTAATTTAAGTTATTTTGATGTGTTTGGTTTAGCTTAATAATGCAGCTTATAACTTTTTGTAGGTCAGAAATCAACTTATTCTTTGAGTGGAACAGGAGAAGCTTAATTTATAAGTCAAAAATCAGCTTTTGTTCATACTTATAAGCTATAAGCTGTTAAGGTATAAGGTATAAGCACTTTCTCACAGTTCTACCAAACAAGACTTATGTCGACTGATCATTTAGCATGGGTAATTTACACCCACAAAAAAATAAAAAAATAAAAAAATAATTAAAATTATTAAAAAAAGATTGATTTAACTTCTTAAATTATGAAATTATTTTAATAGACTTTTTAAAATTTTGTTTGAGATATGAATTGATTTTTTAATTTTTTAATTATTTTAATATGAAATTAAAAAATTTCATTTTGAATAAATTTTTTAATTTTTGTGAGAGAAAAAAAAATGATTATAATTTAAATGTGATAATTTTTAACATGAGACTAAAAAGACTATTTTATTTTTTTTTTTGACTATTTTAATTTCAACCCAACTTTCCAAAGGACTACTAAAAAATGGTTGTGTTTCACTTTAATATATTCCTTATTTCACTTTGAGTTAAATCAAATTTTTAAACATTTTAAAAATGAAAATATAGTTTAGCACTTTATATATTTACAACTCTACTATTATTGATTTTATTTATTTTTTTAAATATAAGTATTCATCTATTATTATTGTTTTATTATTATTTTTAAAATATTTTAGTAGAAAAAAAAAGGTGAGAAATTGAGAAGAAGTGATGTTGCGGTGTTATATAGAGTGTTGAAGAGTATTTTTGTTTAAAAAATGTCAATGTAGTAACAAAAAAGATCAAAGTGAAATACACCAATAATTTAGATTTCGTTTGGGAAGAAGGGAAGGGTTGGGTTGGGTTTTGGGCTATTTTAACTATAAAAAAACAAAATAGGTGTTCTAGTCTAATAAAACAAAATATCATATCTAACCCATAATCATTACATTCTTTCTCTCACAAAAAATCAAAAAAGTCAAAAAATCCTTTCCCAAACGAGACTCTTTAGCCCCAGGCTTAAATAGCTAAAAAGCCAACTCACTTTCGTATGATTTTTATAGTTTAGGAGATTAAAATGATACTTCTTAATAATTTAAAAGTTCATGTAAATAATCCTAACAAGTTGGATACCAAGTAAATTTGACGCAATACCGCTGTATAATTTGGATAAAATATCAGTAAGTTATAATAGTTAGATTTAAATCCCACTAAGTCTTATCAATTCATCGCTGAAAATTAATTCTAATAGAACTATCAGTAAAAAAAACTTTGTGACATTTTTTGAATAAAAAATAACAATTAGTGACTTTTTTGTGATGATTATAGTTAAAAATTGACAATTAACAATTGGTGTATTTGGTTTTAGTTTTTTAAAAATTAAGTTTTTTGTTTTTCGCGTTTTTTTGTTTTTAATGAATATTTTTTAATTTTTTACTTTTTTAGATGCACCTTACTTAGATGTATCTAAATAGTAAAATATTTATGAAAAAAATATTTTAAAAAATTAATAAATACACAAAAATATGAAAAATTTACTGAATTTTCATATATATATATATATATATATTTGTATTTTTTGGTAGTTAGTGTATTTTTAAAAAAGAAATTCACAAATATTATACTTTTTTAGTGTAATTATGTTAGGTATGTCTAAAAAAAAATAAATTTAAATTACTTAAAATATTAAAAAAAATCATTAAAAACATTAAAATACGGAAAATAAAAAAGTAGAGTTTGCTGAAAACTGTTTTCTGAAAATCAGAACGCAACAGAGTGAATATTTTTTTTTTTGTGACAAATTTTTAAAAATGTCATTAAAAACTAACAATGAGTATGTTTTTTTAAAATAAAAAATGTCACTAATCATTACCAAACCTAGTGAACAATAATAAGGTACCATTTCGGAAGACAGTTTTGGGCTAAATTACCCACTACCGTCCAAAAGAGATTAACGTGCTTACACACAACCCAAGCTAGGGTGAATTTACCAAACTACCCCCTCTTACTCTGATTCACACTAGCATCGCCTCACCACACACTAGGGGTGGTCGCAGGTCGGTTGCGGCCACGAACCTCTAATCCGCCATCCGTTCGTCAAATTGGTGGATTGAAGAAAATCCATCTGCATCCGTCCACCAATCCGGCAGATGCGAATTGAGCGGATTGGCGGATTGGCGGATGGATGCAAATCGGTTTGGCGGTTTAAAATTTTACAAATTTCCAACATAATTTAACATGTACACTTTCAAAAAAAATAACTAAATTAATGTACACTTAATTCCTCAACGACGACCTATGTGCTCATGCTCATTTATAAACAACCTGCTCATGCTCAT